AGTGGTTTTCCTCGATGACCACTTAGTGGTTTCCTGATGTTGTTTTAAACTCCTGCTGCAGGCAGTGTGAGCTGCCTCGGCCTCATGACTGCTGCCAGATCACTGTTAATCACACATATAAAACCACACACTCATACACACACAGCAAATTGAACCAAAGCCCCTCAGGCGGAAATGTAACTATCACCAGCAGGACAATTGTACCTCTTGTAATAAAATGTAATGTTTATGTAAGCAGATGTGTGAGCGGTGGTTTGGCTGCAGGAATAGAGCCGCTACAGAAACCTGATTTGTTCCGTTTCATCCTCCTCACCATTATCCTCATCATTTATTCAGCGTTTCCTCCTTTGCCTCCTCCTTGCAGTTATTTCTGTTTCATATTTTTTTGTATGTTTTTCTTTTTCTTGCTCTTTTCTCTTTCTTCTCATCACCAACTGTAAAAAACACTCAAAAAAAGCTTCCAACATTCACTTGAAACTCCCATGTATAGCCACTCTTCCCTGTCTGACACCCTCAGTTTCAACAAATGAGTAAACCCATTCAGTAAAGAAAAGTAGTGCACTTAGTTTCAAAGTAGTGCTTTTTGTAGAGGGTGTAAGCACTATGCTACTGTTCTGTGAGACCACTAGTTTTATCCTCTATTTGGCAGCGTGCATTAGCTTTCTTCCCTCAGTGAAAGAAAAAAAAAAGGATGATGGATGCAACATTGCAGCTAAGCTAGCATGCCACTGTAGCCAGAATAAATCACTTCACTAACAGAGCGAGATAGAGAGATAGGCGTTGGGTGGAGGACAGAGTGGTGCTGTTAGCCAGAGGTGCCAATTGGCCAGGTCAAATATAATTACCACAAATAGAGGACAAACACATACAAAAGATTTGCTCCACACACGCACACACAACGGCACAAGCTGCTGTATTTGTCTGCGAGCTATCACTAAAAGGCTACAAATCACCAGCTGCTGAAAAGGTTCAGCCGTGTAACAAAAAAGCACTTGAGCTAAAGATGATGATGTAAATATTATTCTACTCTCAGGGTTGCAAGACTTGCCAGAGTTGCCAATACGGACTAATAACAAAGGAAACTGTAACATTAAAAGCACTCAAAAGTAATTGAGTTTTCAGACTGCAACCACTGTATGCATTCATCCAAACATGCTGCTGTAAGCTCAACTGCAAGAGTCAGCATTTCAACTGTATGTTTAAGGATCCCTTCCAGACATGTATACAAATAGTCTGCTTGGAACAATAATGTATGTCTGATTTGTTTATTCTGCAAAAAGTATAATTTCCAAATTAAAATCTTTATTTACGACTCTAATTCAAAATGTCAGAATCTATAAATATGCTAATTTAATTCATTCAAGTTTTCCTGCTGGACACAAGATGTCTCCTATTTCACTGTAAACTCCATTCTCAGTGTATGTGCACTGCTGGCTTCAAGTTTCTACATCACAGTTGCATACTGGAACAGGATTGACACGGTCCATCTGTTATTCCATTACCAACTGGATATTTTATAACGAAGCGGATAAGTTATGACTTAACCATTCACCTTCTCTCTGTCCCTCAGTACTCTAAATACTGCCATTCTTTACTGTTCATATGAATGTGTATGATGGTGAACAGCAGCATGTGTGCCCGCAAATGAGCCACCATCAGCCATAAAACCATCTGAGTAAATTCAGCTGTTATCAGTGCGTGAATGGATATATGGCTGTATGTGAATGGGACGACCACACACAATGCGGAGGAGCTGAGGAGAATGGCTCATTCAGTTAGCAGTTCAATGACGGGGAGTGTGTTCAGACAAAGAGCAGAACGAACAGCAGGTGGGTCTTTTTCCTATAGTCTGAACAGAAAGAGAGACAGAAAGAGAAAGTTAAAGAAAAGAAGAAAAAGGAGTTAGAGCCAGAACTTGGTGTGCTTCAACGTTAGGAAAATCACAGCACTTTTCTCAGTGATGCATTCATGCAGTTTTTTGTGATTGTGAATTTACAGCAGCTTTTCCAAGACATTTGAGATAAATTGTTAAACTTGGAGTGTATTATTTATGTTTGCAGATACGGTGGCTTTGCAAGCTCTGAATCAACAAGTCTTTAATCTGCTACTGCTGCAAAAGTAGCACTGCTGGAAGAAATAGATAGGCAGACTCCAGTTGGTCAAAAATCCACTAATTTGACCTCCGGCAGTTTTAGATTTTGTGCATAGGTAGGGACAAATTCTGAAACAAATTAAATAATTGTTGTTAAGTCCACTGCGGTCCAGGCTCAGATACAGTAGTGAGAGTTAAGTCTAGTTTAGCTCCGAGAGCCCCAAAGACAGATAATTTCAGCTACTTGTGTTGACACGTGTCAAGCAGGGCAGTGATAGTAGCGAAAGTGTACCTTGTCAAATTCTGCTTTTTGAAATTTTATTCTTGTTTAGTACCCAGTGTTTACATCAACAGTACACTAAATTAAAATAATCTGATATTACACTTTTTTTCAAAAGGCAGTTTGTTAAATACAAAGATCAACAAATTGTTGGAGCACCAGGCTCAGCAAAGTTAAAATCTACCCCGTCAACCAAAAGTGAAAGCTGCTCCTCTTTGTCCTTGGGTAATTGCTTCTTCTGCTGTGATAATGTGTGTGTAGTGGCACACACAACAGTAAAACAAGCTTATCTCCTGGAGAACGCTCTAGCTTCTCGAATGTGAGGATTTCATGCTTTTCTCTGGTTTATATCAATGTAAATTGAACATCTGAGTTTTGAAATGTTTATCTGTGAAAACCAGCTATTGTAAATTGTCACCTTTAGCTCTGGCTAATTGAAATAGTCATTTTTCACTAATCAACAGATTACCTGTTTATGTAAATATTAGTTGAACTTGTATTCCCATTAAGGGATGATGAAACGTTGGACAATACTTAAGTGAATCGATTTTTTTGCCCCGTGCATTAATTCACTACCTGACCTCCTTTTTTTTGTAATCTCTTGTCAGCCATCTGCCCTTTTCTGCTTGCTTGAGTCCCTCCAGAGGAGCTCAGGTGACACACTGACGGACAGGTCGTACACTGCAGCTCAGTTTGCCTTCGGCTGCAGTGTGTTTGAAAGGGTGAGCGAGCCACAGAGGCGAGCAGAATATTGCAGACTGGATTAACAATGGCCCGTCCTACCTCACCCCCTCCTTCCCCCCTTCTGGTGCCCTTGGAGCCCACTCTTCTTATCGTTTCACCCCACTGTGTCTTAAATAGGACTCTGGCTGCTCGCCCTGCTTTTCTCCCTGTATCTGTATTTCTCTTGGCTTTTCTCTCCCTTCCTGTTCCTCTCTGTGTCTCTCTCTCATCTCGCCTGTCTCACTCACATCTTATTAAACGCAATGGTTTCCCTACCTGATCTCTGTGTGTGTGTGTGTGAGTCTGCTCCCATGTGTCTAGGAGTTGGGATTTACTAGAAATAGCGAGCTGACTCATCAGGCAGTGCGCATATGAGAACTCGTCCAAGCACCAACCCACACACAAATCACACCGAGTAGACTGCCCTCCATATACAGAGACACACACACACACACACACACACACACACACACACACACACAAGCATCGAGCCATTTGTATGCTAAAATGAAGTTGACTTTGAAGGACTGAGGTGGCCGGCTGAGGATCCTGATTGAGAGCACTGATGAGATACAGAAGGTTGAACAAACAGCCAGTGAGCTTTTCTCCCCTCGCTCACCCTCAAGATGAAGATTTTCACATGAATAACACTGAGGCTGGAGATGGCAGAGCAAAAGGCCTCTCTCTTTCTCTCTGCATCTTTGTAGCTCTCTAACACACAAACATGCCTTCAGAGAAACTTCTCTGGCAGTGTACAAGGGTAGCTTCACACACACTTTTTGTTCACCCTCTGATTCAGACAAACAAAAGCCAGAACAGTGCTCTCTCTGTATTATACAGAACTTCATTATTTGAAAAAAAGAAAACCAGCACAACAATTAATTTCCTCTTGTGAGCAGATACCGCCCCAGCCATTTGTCTGGTTAAAGGACTTTAATGATTATAGGCGAGGTCTTCCAGACATTAATCCTAGTTGAGGACAGATAATTACCTTCACTAGAGGACCAACCAGGTTCAAATGAATCCACTGCCAAAATGCATAAAATGAACAATTAAATATACACTGTGTATACTGCACGGCTGCCTTCAGAAAGTGAGGACTCCTGTCACTTGTGTGGCTAGTCACTTTATTCTTGTGGTGGGACTTTAAGGAGCCTCAAAGCTCAGCAAAAATCAGAATAGACAGTGCAGTGGTGACAGGAAATGAGAGGAAAGAGAGAGGAGGGAATGGCATGCAAACAAAGGTCCCTTCAAGACTCGAACCAGGGACGTTGCAACAATAGTATGCAGTTAACCACTAAGCCCCCAGATGCCTCATTAGAGCTAGCCCGGGTCAGGACCATGATTCTACTTATCAAAGGTGCAGCATTGTGTTCAGTGCTGCCACTGGAAGCTAGAAACTATACTGCAACAAGCATAGACTGTTGTAATCTAAATTACGACCACATGTGGCAGCACTGAGCACACTGATGATGAGCAGCACTCCAATGGTAGAACAAGTGAGAAATATTGCACAATCTTCAATTTACAATGAACTGAATCCAAATGTGGATTTTTGTAGACTTTGGTCATGCAGTATGTGACGGTGCTGGGTTGTGAGGAGATAAAATGCACTTAGATGAGACTTAGACTGACCTCCATCGCCATTCATATTTGTATGGATTATGGAAATCATCCAAACAAAATCACATAGTAGTATGAAGTCTGTCAAAAGAACATAAAATCTGCGCTTGTACAGTAAATCTATTGATTTGCTGAGTCGTGATTTTGGACAACCCTGGGTACTACAGAGTATTACATTTTATACAATGACTAAACTAAGGTTCCCTTTGATAGCTGGGATACGTAATATGATTGGCCTGAATCATATTTGGCCTAGATGTTGAAATTTTGTGTAACACTCACGTCTCAGTTTTGTAGGTGGAGCACCTCTCCAGCGGGATCTTCAGGACTCGATTGTTGAGGCCAACAAAGAGCGACCTGTCGCTGTGCAGGATCTGCAGGCTCAGGATTGGTTCTTGCACCCCAGATGGGAGAAGCTCCATCTCCTCCAAGTAACAGCCATGTAGGTTCTTATTGGGAGTAGCCAGTGCCTTTAAGATGGTGCCATATTCTGATTGGACAAGAAGGAATATCAGAAAGACCTTGTAAACAGGCAAATTAAATGCTATTCTCAGCTTAATGCATTTTTTTTTTCAGGTTATATATTTTAGATAAAATACTATATGTCAGGTGTGTGAAATTAAGTATAGTTTTAATCCTCCTTTACTCACCTGTGCTGATGTACATAACATGGTAGAGGGTGTCCATGCCCTGAACAATGTCCACGACCAGGTTGGAGAAGCGAACGTCATCCTGCATGACCAGCGGATCTACAGACTCTGGCTGGACCACGTCGTTCATCAGATAGAGCCGCTGGGCGTCCTGCAGGCTGCGCTCCGTCAAACCCTCATTGGGACCCTCGTCATTTATTGTACCACACTGGAGAAGAAAGGCAATCGGGTGAGAGATGAGAGAAGGGTGAGGTGTCAGAAAAGGATGTGAAAATGTGGTATGGATGCAGAAAAAGGAAAAAGGAAAGCAGAAAGAACGGACGAAAGAAAGAAAAACCAAACAATGGAGAAGTACCATTCCAATCATTCTACTTACCAAATCAATACACAGTGTCTGGCTAGATTGTTTCAATTCTTAATTCTATTCTCAGTAATTGAAACTTTTTCAGGGGATCAAAACTACAGTGTGATTGTGATGTGGCCACGGCAACAACAATAATGAGACAGCACAGGAGAATAAATATGAAATGACAGCTTTCTGAAAGCTTTGTTTGTGTTGCAGAGCTTAGCTGTGGATTGCATCTTCTGCTCATTCTATGCGACTTGAAATGAGACATTGATCTGTTGGTAGATTCCATTTTTGGGTGATGTTTATAGAGCAGTAGATAGTTTTGGAAGTATAACAATGATTTTTCTTTTTTGGTAGGTATATCTATATTATTAGTTATCTGTTATCTGTGTGATATTATAATTTTATAATAATTATATTTTTTCTTCTGAAAACCAAAAATGTTTTTTAGTTAGTTGTTATGTAGGTGATAATCAGAGCAAAGAGAAAAAAAAAAGCTTTAGGAATCTGTTAGGATATCAGATACTGTTTGTGGCCATTTCTGCCCATTGTCGGTAACCTGTGCAGTTAGCTAGCCATGTAGTTGAATGCACACGTGTAACTTTTCAATTCAGTGTACTGTATAAAGTAACTTTTGTGCTTTCAGCCATGCTGTGTAGCACCACCAGCAAGCTCTAGACACCAAGAGGTTTCAGAAACTAGATTAGAGATGGTTTAATTTTGCTTATAAAAAAAAGAAGTAACTTTTCATTGGAGTGATGCAGCCTGACTGCCAGTTCTTGGAAAACAAAGTGCTTTCCACTGTAGTTACATTGTTTGTTGGGATTGAGGCTGGATTTGACTTGGTTCTGAACTGGATTATTTCTATGCATAAAACTGCAGTGATTAGTAAAACGGGCAAGCATTGTCAGAGTTTGACACCTTTTTTGTGGAAAAAAATTGCAGAAATGTCATATTAGGGTTGGGCGATTGGACATATGTATTGGCTATTGTCCAAGTGGTTAAACTAACCTGGAAGTTGTGGATGGGGTTGGGCGTAGGAAGCCAGGTGGAGCGAGGATTCTCCTGGGAGCGGAAGGGCCCGTTGAAGGCCTGGGTGATGGCGCTCAGGTTGAAGGCACAGACCGCAGATGCTGCAATACTGTTGCTTTATAGAGAGAAAGTCAGCGAGAAAAATGACAGACAGGGATAGAGAGAAAAAAGTAAAGATATTATTTCAACACTAATATTCATAACACTTTACATGTTGGCAGATAAAGTGAAGCCATATCAGAAATCAGCAGCGGCCAGCTGTGTAATAAAGCCATTCTGCAATGTGTTCCATCCTCTTAATGGAAGTCCTATCATTTATACCCGCACTAAACAGGCACTACGTCGGCTTGCTTTAGCTGGAGGCTAAGCTATGCTATCAGCACTGCACAGTGAATGGGGACAGTATTAAGCTGAGGATATAGGAGGCAGCCGCACAGATTATGTGCAAACACACACACACAGAGCTGCCTTACAGGTGTCACATACGAGAGTAAACCCCGGCTAAACTGGCAGTATGAGTAAAATTATTATCGTGACGCTCTTTGGCCATAATGTGCTGCAAGGTAATGAGTTTCTTAACCGCCTGCTACTGCTGACAGTTTTTTTCCCCCTTGCCTATACACCCGGCACCACTCTCAGACTTTTTACAACACAGTAAACAGCCGTCTGCCTTGGCATGGCTTGTGGGATGCTGATAAACCATCAGTTAGAAGATAGTGAGTGATAACATTATAGTGAGAAAGAGAGAGAGACTCAGACAGCAAGGCAGAGAAAGAAAGACTGTTGTAAGGACTTCATGGGGTTGTGAGCCGTTTCGGTACCTTGGGTGATGTATAAATCAGTGAAGGCTGCTGCTTGCTAAAAAAGCTGTGTCTCAGGATTTGGTAAATGGTTGTGGTTAGACCTAAATGTCTAATTGTTACGCTTGGGCTGCTTTTGCTCGGTTTTCATTCCATTTATATTAATTATCACATGATACAGTCACTCATCTATTAGCTATGCATACTGTATATTTAAAGTTACTGCGGTTACAGACTACTCAGAAATCACTGGCTCTGTACATGTTTTAGAACAGTTTTTATGGATGAAAAAACTCTTTCACAATTTGGAAATGGTTTAGGGTTTTTACCTGTCTGCCCATGGATTTAGAAAACTCAGCAAACATTTTAATGGATTTTTCTTTTTCTATTACCTATAGTTATATATCATAGTTATATTCTTTGTTACTTACTCTCAGTTTTAAAACCTTCTTGTGATCTGCACAATCAGCACCTTCTGATTTGGCTGATTAATAACAAAATGCATGAATCAAAAGTCTTGGGTGGTTAATAGAAATTTCAAACTCTTTATAGATCATCCTCTTCTGGGAATAATGTCCCATTTTATACCTCTTAAGATTGCTTTTGTTGTTTCTTGCTTTAAATAGTACTAGACCCAGTTCAAGATTGTGAGAAAACAAATGTGTTCTGGCAATACTGCCGGGTGGCAAAGTGCTCCAAATGAGCTCTGGCTAAACAACTGGGGAGGCCAAACAGGTGGCTCACTGACTGACTCGCAGGCTGCCGAAGAGAACAGCTTCTGGACTGCAGTAAAAGGACCTTTTCTCTCTTTTTTCAATGGCACTGGTTGGAGACAAGAGTGACAGGGAAGCAGAGAGAGTGCTGTGGTGAACCGGCAGTAACCAAACCCCAACTGAAGGAAACCACAGGCAAATAAGCTTCAATAAGTGAGCGGCAGCCACGTCAGTTTTCACACCCGCGCACAAACACAGTTTGACATAATAGGAAGTTAAACTGTGGGTTTGTGGTTGTACTGTAGCTACAGCTTCCACTGAAGCCAAACTCTACCACAGAAAGTCTGACACTGTCCAGATTATCTGAGATCTCTACTTTGACAGTGGGTCGCTGCACATGCCAAGAGAACAGAGTGAAAGGCAGCACTGAAAGTCTATTGCACTAATGGATGCAACCCATATGTTTTGAGTCTGCTTAAAAGCCCAGGAAAGTGATTGAAAAGCTGTTTGACATCTGCTATGCTGTTTGCTGCCGCTCTCTGAGGACCGGCTCCATGATGATCATTTTCATTATGAGTGAAGCTCCTTCTTCAAGTGATTCATTGCATTCCACCAGCCTGATCCTGTCACTGGTTGTCCTCTGGAATACTGTTTGATTTTCTGTTTTGTTTTACAGAACTCGTCCCTGTTCACCTCTCAAGCTTTCTGTTTCCTTTTCTGTGCTATGAACCAATTTGTTAAAACCTTTTCACAAATCTTCATATCCCGTATTGCTACACAGCAATAGTTAAAAATCAACTTCAGATACATAAACATCAAAATGCCGCTTACAAATAAATGTATCAGTAATAATAATGTAAAGTATATTTTCAAGTATGTATACACTGTGTTATAGAACTGGCATAAGCCAACAATGAACTGATCTGAAATATTGGATCTGAACTGAAGTACTGTGTGTGTATACAAAGTCTGATATATCTTATTTCTCTGTGTAATACCATTGACAGTATATATAGTGGACACAGCTTCCAGGTCTATGAAGTGAAGCCAAGAATGTTTGTGTCTTGTGGTTAGTGTCCTAAACCTGCATTCCATGTAATGGCGAGCAGGAGGCAGCTCCATGGGCTGCAAAAAAAAAACAACCTCTGATGTCATTGCGTCTTATGGAGAAACGACCCAACTTCTCACTTGATTTATTAGCTCAGTAAACAGTTTCCTAATGAGTTTGTGGTCTCAATCGCTAGTTTGTAGTGTTCTTCCATACAGCATGATGTTCATTTTGTAAATGAATGTCTCAATTAGAGTAAATAGAGCAGGGTATGTTTTAGGGTGTGGCTACCTTGTGATTGATATTCTCAGTGAGTCTGTCCAGCTCAACGCACAAAAGTCGAATAAAACTGTCAGACTAAGCAGTGCTGATCAAATATGAATCAAGATTCTGTCACTGCACTGCCTATTCTGCCTATTTCTCGCCTAACATATTTTAGTGTGCTGTTAATACGAGACTGTGTGAGACCAGGCAAACCGCTATAGTTTTCTGCTACGGGCGAGTCGAAACTGCGCAGCCAATAAGAGCAGCTCAACTCGCAGTACGCCACCTCTGCTGGCTCTGTCATGATGACTGCCTCACTGCTAAACTTGAGGTAGCAAAACAGTTCTCCACAAATCAATGGGTGACGTCACGATTGGCTTGCACCATACACCCATTTTTGGTTTTAGTCTTTTCACAGGATTTGTTGACATACAGAAAGATATATAATAATGCCATATACTTCAATTTAAGGAAATGAATACCTGTTTTACCACTGTCAGCTGGCCTGATACCCACACAACATTGCTACAGACAACACACAAGCAATTGGATGTGTAGTTCAGTTCAGCCCAAAAAAGAGGTGTGAGAAAGGTAATGAACTCCTCGCTCAGCCTGGCTGTTTTGCTCCCTGCAAGCTACAATCAGTACAGATCAGAACAGCAGTGAGTCTGTCTGGTAAACACAAGTGGCTGATATGCATCTCACTCAATAACCTTATCTTTATAGACTGGATACTGGTGTAGTTGCTACTGCGCGTTTTAAACCCAGTCCTATAGGTTTTAAATCATCTTCATTCTCAAAACTGTTTTTTTCTTTTTTGATTTAATTGTTAACATGACTACATGATCTGCCATATTATTATTCAGTGCAATATGCCTGTGGTATTCTCATCATCTATATTTCTATATTTTTTAAGGCTTTCTTTTCTGTTATTTTTTAATGTGCTAATTATCTGACTGTATTTCTACCCTCTCTATTTAACATTTATGTTTAACGTGAAGTATGAATAAGTAATAATTTGCACATGCACTGTATACACATGTCAATGCAGAGAAAGTCCAGCTGAAACCCCAGGTTTTTAGCCAATGTGCCTAACCTCATTTTATGTGAAAAAAGGAACAGCTAAAACTACATTAAGGCCAATGTTTCAACCCCAGTGAATACCTGCATCGCAGCAGAAAAGGAAAAGGGCCCACTCAGCAGAGCTGCGTGGCTGCAGGGAGCAGAAATTGAAGTGAGGCTGCCAGGATTATCCATACATATTTTTATACTGCACAACAATACGCCAGCAAAAGCAACAGCTTTGGCCCAAAACAGTCACATTCAGAGGCAGACTGAGTCAGCAACACCTACACTAAACAATAAAGCACCACAGGTTCAATAGGTTGCACAATAATCCAGGTGTTAGATTGGAGCTATTGCAAAAAGTGCACAGTTCACCTGATTATAATGTCACTGTTAACCATCTAAGAGACTAAATGTAATCACTGTAGTGTTTTTTGTTCTGTCTAAGCTTGGCTTGACCTTTTTTCACAGTATTTCTAATTGAATGCAAATTGGCCCTAAGTGAAAGAAACCAAACAGAGTGCAAATAAACATTGAAAGAATATCTGTGAAATGAATGATAAAACTGCTGGTACACAAGCAGCAGATTCTGTCAAACTGTATTCAAATCAGGCCCAGTCTTCCACTGGGGACCCCGCAGTTCATTTCAAGGTAGATTTGATGTCAGCAAGTTGATATGATGGGAGGACACGTAAAATCAGAAATATTGTACAGTTATGTGGCTTGCGTCACTTGGCTGCCCAGCATATCATTTCTCAATGTCAAGTCTGATCTCATGTGGAGTCAGTCACATATTTTAACCCCCTAAGAGATGTTGAAAAAGTTTAATGAGACTGAGCTCCTTATTGGGCTACAACTAATGATTACTTAACCTGATAATTGAACTGGATTGCCATTTTATTTCATGTCATTATTCAGCCTGACATTATGTTCCAGTTAGCTGATTACTACTTAAAAACTGAGTTTTGTTTTGCCCTAACCAGTCATAAATGAATGATTTTCAGTTAACATGAAAGCTTGCAAAGAACAATAAATATAAAGTTTTTAATATAATCAAACAAATATGACATTTTCAGAGTTGTTATTACTGTCAGTTGACTTAAGGCACCGGTATACTTTATACACTAAGTGCTTGTAGGAGGGTCGATCTGCTTCGGAAACCCCTCTACCCCCCACACCTTTCCGATGTCAGGTTAGGGGGCTGAAAAAGAAGGCAGGGTTTCTT